ATCTTTGTTTTTTTGTGCTTTCTCAGATTTTGGAAACATTTTTGTGGTCTGGGACTTTAGAGTTGTTACATTGTTCATATCTACGCATTTCCTTTTTTTGCTTTTTCCTTTTGTGTTTCTTCATTTGTGTTTTTCATCTTTTATTTTAGTCATATAATTACTGTCAATTGATTAACTTTCTTATTCTGTGATGTTTGCATGCTGTATTTATTTACTTTTTTAAACTTTTTTGTCAGTTTTAATTCCAGTCTTTCTAAAGCATTTTGTGTTCCATTTAACTGTACAAAACACGCCCCGTGGGTAAAACATTAGTAAACCTGTCCGTAAAAGTTCAAAAAAATCCACTGGACTTGTTTTTCAAGATTTAAGACGTTTCGCCACCTCTCAAGGAAGCTTTCTCAATTTAAATGTGAGAAAGGTTCCTGGAGAGGTGGCGAAACGTCTTCAAATCTTGAAAACCAAGTCCAGTGGATTTCTTTGAACTTTTATGGAATGACTATGAACTGGATGACTGAGAATCTTTATCAGCATTAGTAAAACTTCCTCCTGATCATTTTGATCACTGCTGCCTTTTATAAATATAAATGTTCATTTCACTGCTAAGCTGCTCATTCACTGTTGAAAAGATGTATGCAACGAAATTTCGTTTTGTATACACTCTGTGTATACAGAATTACAATAAAGTTTGCCCAAGTCTAAGTCAGTCTAAGTGAAATGAGAAGTGATTCCAAATTCATATTACTCCACTGAGGGAAATAAGGCTATTTAGATAATCACTGATTTACGCTTGAAAAGAGATTATGTGTTTTAATTGTCCTTAAAAATCCACATCTTTCAAAATGTCCTTGTCTATCAACTTTTAATTTTACTTGTACATTCAGGAACCCCTCTTAGAACAAGACTTTCAATCTAAATAAAGAAGGAATTAGATTCTAAAGTCGACTGTATATTTAAGTTGACTAGTTTAAGGGAACACATTTGGTCTGGTTTCACTTCGAAGTGCTGCTATTCCAGCTTTCTGATCTTTGAACATACATCCAAACCTAAAGCAATCCGGTATCATTTTAAGAGCTATATGTACCCACAGGTCTGCGTGTCAGATTGCACCTTTCTTCGTCCCTGTGAAAAAATCTCAGAGTGCTTTGTATTTAAATTGTTTGAATGTGTATTTTTTTAAGGGCGAAATTAATGAAATTTTAGATAAATTTTTATGTGGAAGACCAAAACAATGTACTGCAAAAATGTGATGTGCGATGACATGCAGATAAAAACCTGTAGGCAACAGCGTGTACAAACCGTCCTTATCTGTTATTACAGCTACAACTTTTTAGAGAAGGTCTCTAACAGTTTTTCAAATCTAGACTGAAAATGTAGCCTTTCCTTTATTCACAATGGATATTTGGCCAGATTGGTCAAAATATATATTTGAAATCGTGACCCTTGCAAGGACTTTCAACTAGATTTAGGTTTTTACTCCTCTCATGAGCTCTGATCATCTTTATTGACTCTACTGGAGGAAAACAGCTATGGCCTGATGCTACAGTTACATGTTTACAATGTTAAACTCTAGGACTGTAGTGAACAGGGTGACATGTTGTGTTTACTTTCCACCATACAAAGTTTAACTTTGACCTGATCTGACCAGAGCACCACCATCTTCCTCACCTTTGCTGTGACCCTACATGGCTTGTAATAAACTTTTAGGGCTGTCCTCTAAAAGAGGTTTTTTCGTTTTTATCAATCTTTTAAAAGATTCTTCCACCTGAGCTGTGTTCAACCCCCACAGCTGCTTCAATGATGGACACTTATTATAAACCACTCTTAAAACGTTGAAAACCTTCTACAGTCTTACATGAAACAATATTTTCAACAAAAAAATCTTCTACAATGTTTTAGAAAAATGTTTAAGACGAGCCTTTTTAAAACCCCACAATCTTCTGTATTTGGGGGGAAACCAAACTTATTATATGAGTTTTAATCTGCAAAAATGGGTCTTTATGACTTACAATGAAGGAAATCATAATAATGAACCATGACGTACACTTTCTTAAAGAATCAGGAGTTTGGAGCATGCTTCTATCCTAGAGTTCATGTTTTTAAAGCTATAATTGCTGTCTCATAAATCCCTAGATACAGCAGACTCAGCATTATTTATCAACTTAATAATAACCATCTTTAGGACATAGAAAAGCATAATTTTAGCTGTTATGCAGCAGAGCACACTTCATTTCTTCTCCCTTTACCTCTGATCTCTACACTGAAGAATGGAAATGCATGTCATTTTGATTTAGCGCGTTCCCACTCCGACATAAAACTGAGTCGGTCCAAACAGAATAAAACAATCATGTTTGAGGCTTTAATTACTTCCAGCTTCCTCGTGCTCTCTTCAGGGTGTCAGCTGATCAACCATCTACTGCATTAAGCCTCAAGTTGACCATTTCAGACAGATATAATACGAAAACTGAGTGACAGAAAATACTTTGGAGATCTTTAGGCGATAAAAGTAATTACGGTACTTAAAATTTGATGTATGTCTAAATCAAACCTGGCAGAAAATGTACAAAAAATTACTTACTAGATAACAATTTGTAGAAACCTTTGGAACAGAATCTAGAAATGTCTTTGGCATATTTACTGGAGTTTTGGGCAAAGCTGAGCTGACTTTCCCTGTGGTTTGGGATCTTTAACTGTCAAAGCTTAAATTTCAGCCACTGAGTTCATGTTTCATGTTTCTTATCATCGCAACCTCAGCGCTGCTGTCAGTCATTCGAAGGTTTCCTACCAGCTGCCTTCTACACTGGAAAAACGACCTAGAAATAAGTAAAAATTTCTTAAATTAAGTGTTTTTACCATTAATTTGAGCAGGTAAATGAGATAGTTTGCCAATGAAATGAGTATTTTAACTCTTAAAATAGGATAACTAGATAATATGCACTTGAAATAAGACAATGCAATTGTGTTTTCTTATTTTAAATGTAAATTGTCTTGTTCCATTGGCAAAATGTTTCTCTAACCTCCTCAATCCAAGAAAAAATGCAGCTATTTTAAGAAAAAAATGACTTATCTAGATTTTTTTTTTCAGTGTAGGAATCTGGTGACAGTTGCTGATGGTTTCCCCCGTCCCGCCAACACACTGGAAAAACAATCTAGAAATAAGTCAAACTTTCTTAAAAAAAGTGTATTTACCCTTTGAGTATTTGAGTAGGTAAATGAGGTCGTTTGCCAATAGAATTAGTATTTTTACTCCTAAAATAAGATAGATAACATGCACTTGAAATAAGACAATGTAATTGTGTTTTCTTATTTTAAATGTAAATTGTCTTGTTCCATTGGCAAAATGTCTCTTTTAACTCCTCAAACCAAGAACAAATGCACTGATTTTAAGAAACAATGACTGACTAAGATTTAAATTTTTTCCAGTGCAGGTGCTGTAGCCACATCCACTTAAAATTAGTGAGCTCTGCTTTAGGCTGCGTCTATAGGACCATTTGAGGCCTTTGCTTTTTTTTTGGCTGTGCAAAGCAATAAACTCCTCCTAGGACTTTCTGTCCAGATTTTATGACTGAGCTGTTTGTAGCATGCAGTGAGACATTACTAATGCAACCAGCAAGGGTCCTGATTGGAAGCTCCAGGCATCATGAATTCATACTGAATATAAATGTGTGGTTGGGGTAACTGAGAACGCAGCAGCAGTATTTCAGGTTTGAATTGGGACAAAGACCTTCGCAGCGAAAGCTGAAGCTATCCAGTAGGACTAAAACAATGAACTGTGATTAATAAGTGAAAGAACAGCAACTCATTTAGCAGTTGTTAATAAGGGTGTGCAAAATAATCGTGATGACGATGCATCGCAATTTCGATTTTTGTGATCTACTGCATCGATTCTTGAAGGCAAGAATCGATTAATAAAGAATAAACAAATAAAATAAATGAATGGTTTGCGCACATCAGCCAAATCAAGTGGAATACAACTTCCAGTCCAGCAGATGTCGCTGCGGATGTGTTGACGCCCGCTGCTTTGTGTCACAAGCAGGGATACTGCGAAGGGCCTATGAAATAAAACATGGAGGACACTATGAAAATTCGCGGCTTCATCACATTTCAAGTCAGATGCTTGGATGCATTTGGCTTTAAAAACAAAGAAGGTAAAACAAAACTGATATGACGCACGTATTATATTATATATTATATCATGTAAAACTGTAACTAGAGCGTGTAACAAAAGTAATTTCCCTCTGGGATTATTAAAGTATTTCTGATTCTGTAATTTGCAAAAGGGGAAATATACATTTGAAATTTTTCATTTCATTGGTTTAAAGGACCACTGAGGCCATGTAAACGGCACTGATTATCCTTATTTTGTTATTTTAAGTTTGATGAATCCTAAGATCTTTTTGTCAGTGTGTCCATGCCAGTAATAGTAATATTTCTGTCCAGTATTTATTTTCATGGCAACAATACAGCTACGAATGAATTCAGTTGCTTTCAGTTATGTATCAACTGAAGACACGATCCAGATCACACACAGCCAGTCAGCCACTGGTAAGGGCTGTATCTTTTTCTTACAGTCTTCAGTGAAAATATCGCAATGCATCGTAATGCATCGCAATATTTCAAGTATCATGATGCATCGTGATAGAATCGCATCGTGGCATGTGAATCGTGATTCGAATCGAATCATGACTTCTTTGCCAATGCCCACCCCTAGTTGTTAACCTGAGTATAGAGACCTTAATGCTATTAGCTGCAAATAGAACACATTCAGAGGAGTAATAAATCAAAATTGTACAAAAAATATATTAACATTTTGCATTTTAAATGAAAACCCCCTTTTGTTTAGCTTTACCCTATTTAAATTCTGTATCACATCTTCTTTGAAGCCCTTTAGCTATTGAACGAGTCATTGATTATTCCAAATAAAAATCGACAGATTAGTCGATTAGTATAAAAAAGTTATTTGCAGCTCAACTATCTAGTGATAAAAATCTCATGAGGCATTATCACAGCCTGAACATTTTTATTGCAAAGATAGTTACCCCAATTAGTAGCCCTAATAGAGGTTTAACAGCAACCAGACTCCAGTTTTACAGCTTGATGTTGTATTGGATTTTACTCTAACTGAGGATGGCACAAGCAGGTATTAAAAAAATTTGATGAGCCAGTATTTGGAATAAGTTAATATTGCTCATAATGCTCACGGTTGAACTAGGAAGACAGTTCACGACCATACAAAAAGCCGATTTAAAGCAAAGTGAAAAGTAGTGAACAGAACAAAACTAACAAACATTTTTTCTTTAAAAAGCTACCAAGTAAAAAAAAAAATCACTACACTGACAAAACAGGCGGCAGTTTAAGTACCATACAAAGCATTGTGCTATACATCCAACAAAACATCGAGGCAACAAGCTGGTTCTTCTTTTGAGAAAACTGTAGAAAATTCGGTGTTTTCCTACCAGTCTTAAAAAGAGTGGTAAGTGGCACATCAATACAAATGATTACTGTTCAAGTACATTTACAAACCAAAAACATGTCTGACGGAAACCAGAGAGTACCTTGGGAAAGTCTTTATCGAGTACATCGTGAAAAATGTCCTCAGAAGGCACAGACAGAGAAAGATGTGAGCCGTGCAAAAGGAGAAAAAAACAAAAAAAAGGTTGTTTTGTGCAAGGAAGCAAAACTCAAGTTTGTGAGAATTGGCTAATACAGCAGTTTGATTGTTCCTCCTTTACATTAAAGGGATACCTCAGAAAGTTTGAAGTGAGTTCCTGCCTAAGGATCTGAACAGGTATTATTATTCTACCTGCAGTAACCCTCCAGGGGTTTTCATGTGGTAAAGTCAGAGTCATAATAATGGCTAACAGGATAGCCAAGAACAAAGCAGTTTTTTTAAATAGCCTGGTCAGCCAGACTGCGTAAGTCAGTCTGGGGTAACTCAATACTGACAGACCAGACCAGACCAATCAGAGCGCAGACGGCAGGCCCATAATGCAACAGTTCTTTTCTGTAACCATAACAGTTAAGATCGCAGCTGCAATGGGGCAATGCCCTTAAAATTTCAAAACCTTTAAGAGCATTTCTTTCTTTTTTTTATATTTCTTTTTAGCATCACATCCATTTTTATCTGATTGGTTATAAAACTGATTCCCAACTTTAAAATTCAGCTCTCCTCAATCCCTTCCAGACTAATATGCTGTGAACGTCTTAAATCAGTCTGGCTGCTCAGGTTAGATTTCAGCAACCTTTTAAATAGAACCAAAATCTTAAAATCGATTTGTGATAATGCTTTTATAAACCTTTAAACGGTTTGTTACCTTTGTTTTAAGTAAAGGCCTGTGCAGCATTGATGAATTTTCAGTGTGAAACACATACTTGGAATTGAACAATTAAAGCACAGTACGGTTATTAAAATATAGATAAAATAGGCTCACCTAAACAATCGTTTTTTTTTTTTACCACTTTTCTTTTCAGTTAGTAATTTAGTCAGAGTAGAAATGCATTAGTGTACACATTTTGTTCTCAGTCTGTGTTTCACACAATAAGGTCCCAGTGGTGCTGGATTCTTTCTCAGTTTTCAAGCTAAACAAAAAAAAACAAAAATGCCCAAGATAAACATTTTAAACAAAAAAGGTTTGTAAAATAGCAACTGCACAACGCTGGAGTAAAGCTGTTAGCACTAGTCTCCGGGTGTGATCAGTCTGGAGGAGGAAGAGCTGCAGCTGAAAGATAAGCCGCCTGTAGAATATTCCCAGGAATCTCATTTCAAAAGTTAGAAGCTATCCCTTTAAATCACTCCTTGATACAGTACCAAACACTGTACATAGGTGTTAAAACATGTCCTAACCAATGAAAGAGAATTACATTACGAATGCCCTTTTGGCCACACAGGAAGTGAAACATTAAGTCCTACATTCATTATATTTACATCAGTTTATTAGTTGCACGGAGTAAATTAGGGCGTTATGTAAAATCTGTAGCTAGAAAGTTGGTAATGAGATTGCTGATCCAGTCTGCTGTGCATGCTCATGTCTGGTTTGTAAATCAATCGTTTGGACTTAACTCCATCACACATCCCGACATTCATATCAAAACTTTCCTGTGCAACATTGCTTGGGTACCAGGTGGGAATCTTTATTTTTGTTTCCCAGTTCCCAGAACTCTACAGTTCAGAGACATTCCTTGGCTGCATCTTCCATCAATCAACCAAACACCTCTGAGCCAACTAAGGTCCGTTATTCTGATTGACATGGATGCAAAGTTTTTCTTTAGTTATGGAAGACGTGGTAAGATTAAAAAAACTTTCTTTTTTTTAAATAATCTTCAGTACCTTTCACTGATTTCACAAAAATACTTTTTTTTTTTGCAGTATGTGGAGACCAAACTTTCCAACCCTTTCAACATTATTTGTATTAACTTACAATAACAGTCATTCTTTCCTTTCTTTTAGCCCTTTTTTCCTCATTTCTTAATCTTTTTATAATACATGCTTGACCAAATTTTTTTATTTTGTGCAGTTATCTCTTATACACAGGTCAGGCAACAACGAGGCTGCCTTCATGTCCGTCTCACTCAGGGTAGCCGTCTTATTGCCACTATTTGCTTTTTGAAATCTGACCCACCATCTGTCAGTAATACAGCAATTATCCCACGACGGGGAGATTTTGTTAGGCTTTTCTAGTATCTTCAGATTAACTCCAGTGTGCTCCCCTGCCTGATTGAGTCAATCCTAAAAGCAGGTTATTCCTGGTTAGAAGCTACCAGCTTGCAAAATTACCAAAAAACAAAAGTTGTGACAACAACAACTGAACAAAGCAGCAGAGTAAGAAAACAGTGCAGTATGACACAAATCGTCACATTTGCATAACCGTCTGTTGTTTAGCATTCGCTCCCTGGGAAGAATCCCTGGAATTTAGCTCTGAATTTCAGTCTATGGGGAGAGAAAGTCTTCTGAGCAAACAGCAGCTGGCAAAGCAGGTCCAGTTACAGGAGTTCAGTTATCTTTTTTTCTTCCTGTAGCGATGCCCGGAGCAGATAGCTGGAACTATCTCAGATTCAGAGTGATGGATTTTCATCCGTCTCAAGCGTCTGCTAGTTCTTTATCTCCAGAATGGAGGGGTTGTGGTCCAGGATGGACAGAATGATCTTGTCCATGTACTGCCGCAGACATATGTTGATGTCCTCCTGCTCCTTCAGGGCTTCCATTAACTGTGGAGAAACATGTACATAAAACACTTCTAAATATGACCAAATCAATTATTTATAGATATTACCTAAAGATGTTGGCAAGGAAAGGTCCCTTAATTTTATTCTTTAGGTTTGGAGATCCAGAGAATATCTTGCATCTCATGTGTGATGCTATTTGTTTTGTAAAAGTCGCTGCAGTCTCTGCTATAGGAAATGTTTCAATGTCCTATATTTTTGACCATGTGAGATTAGATTTAACATTTTTTTAGTTTATTTGCTTGTCACAACTACACAGAACTGCTGAGTGCGCAGAAATGAAAATTTGTTTTGAATTATCTTCTGGAAAGAGCAGAGGAAATTATTTCCTTCTGCTCGCTGACAGGAAAAGCAGAGAGCTCAGTTAAAATGACACAGAATGTCCTGTTTTCTGTTTATTCATTGCCAATCAGGAGCCTATATGTGTCTGAAATTAAAACTTCACCTTAATAGGAGCAGTATACATGGTGTAAATACGATGCATATTCTGGTGTAAAGACCTTGAATGACCAGAACATAAAGCTGTCTCACACTTAGCCTTCATTTAGGATGTGTGGATGCTGCTTTACTGCATTTATATGCTGCACATGTTCTTTGTAATATCCAGTATTAGGAACATTATGCTGCGTTTACAGCGCACACACTTTGAGCAGCAGAAGCAGCTTGTTTACATGCAAAGTCTACGATTGACGTGCATCAAGGCGCATCAGAAGGTCCTGCACCACGTCTAGAGCAGCAGGAGCAGCGCATCCTGACGCATCTGAGGCAGGGCCTAAAGAGCTTCTGAGCATCTGAGGCAGGGCATGCGCTTCACAAGCAGCAGCTGCTTGAGGAAATTTTTGGAGAAAATCAACCGATCAGAGAAGCTAATCTGAGGCTAACAGGGAGACAGACTGAACGACGTTTTGAGGTGGACTTTCTCGCTTAAAAATATATTAAAAATACGCACGGCTAATATAGTAAAGCCCTTCTCTGCCATTGAACACAGGAGCAGCAGAAGAATCGGACGCATCTGTGAACGCTTTTCCTTTACACGCCTCATTAATATCCAGTACTAGGAACATTATGCTACGTTTACATCACACAGATATTTGATGCTCTTGAGTCACGTCTGATCTTAATGTGTACAAGCATCAAAAAGGAAGCAGCAGGCACCTTTTTACTGCTCAAAGTGCATGCGGTGTTAACGTAGCATTACTTTCAAAAAGTAACTAGTTATAGTAAACTAGTTAGCTCTTCTGATAAATCAAAGTAACTAGTTAATTAATCTAAATGAATTTTAATGATTTTTCCATTATCTGAACTTTCAAAACAACTGAAAGTTTGCATCAAACTGACAACATCAAAACAAAACACTGCAAAATTGCATCATTTATATTAAATACTCTGAACTTCCATAGCAATGTGGTTTTTTTGCACCATGTCTTTTTTCTCCCACACTGTTTACATTTGATCACTGCTGCACTTTAAGAAATGGAAATGTCATGAGAGCTGTACAAAACAAAATTTCATTTTGTATACACTCTATGTATACAAAATGACAATAAAAGTTGTCTAAGTCTAAGATCTGCCATCAACTTATTCATCTCCTCTCTGTGTTAACCACCATTGCGTGCTGAACACCCGCCCACTTTACGTCCCCTAGACCAATCGGATGCCTGTATCTAAGCTGCACAGAAAAAAATCTCTCAGAGAGACTGCACTCATGAAAAGTCACTTTGATGGATCGAGTTAAAGTCACATGCGGCATTAGATTGCAATTAAAGCAACTTAAATTTTTTTTTTATTTTAATATTAGTTAAATACTCTTTTACTGATAAAATAACCCTGTTACCAACGCCATTTTTATCTTACATGGCTGCTACCAGCAAGGTTTATATATAATGACAAGAGCTACATTTTACTGCATCTTAAATGAATCCTAAAAGTCCATGGAGTTCAAGTTAAGATGAAGATTTACAATCATATTCTCTAAAAACAGCATGTCCATTATAAAAAGAAAAAATTATTAGCTTATTTGCTCTACTGAATCGTTTTAAATAGTGCTCAATGTAACATTCTGCAAATACGATCTTGAGGTAAGCAAAAATGTCTTAAATAAGTGTATTTAGCCCTAATTCGAGAAGGTAAATGAGATGATTTGCCAATGAAATTAGATTTTTTTTACTCTTAAAATAAGTTAAATAATAATAATTAAATAATATGCAATTGTTTTTTTTCTTATTTCAAATGTAAACTGTCTTTTTCCATTGGCAAAGTGTCTCACTTACCCCCTTAATTAAAGGAAAAATGCACTCATTTTAAGAAAACACGACTTAATTAGATTTAAATTATTTGCACTAATGGTACCAAGGGTCAACTACAGCATGAGAGCAACCTAGCAGGTAAAAATAAATAGAAAACAATGGGAATCTATTAGTAGGTGCATTTAAGAGTTGCTGATCTTCTTTGTATTCAGAAATAATATCTAGACTGAAGTTTCACCTGATCTCTGGAGGCGTTGTCTATCTCAGCAGCTAGAGACTGAGCCTTGGTTTGTGTGGCAAACAGGTTCTTGGCTTCGTACAGGCTGAGGCTGAGGATCTGGCCGTTCAGGTCTTCATTTTGCTCCCTCAGCTTCTGGGTTTCCTAAAATAAGTGTAGAGAAAGACAGGAAGAAAAGGTTAGAGTACGACCCATGCTTAGAAAACCAGAAACTACTCTATATTAACACGGACACCAAGGGCGCAGCGCCTGGTCCCTCATCAAGCAGCAAACACAGCTAATATGGACACAACACTGACTGGATATAACAGGGGTTATGTGTGTTAACAGTGTCCCTGCACGGTCTGCTGCATTGCAAAAGCTTTATGATTAAGTTCGCCTTAAACTGCTGACAGGAGTCCAGTTTGCCGTTCCCTTGTTTTACCTCTGAGCCATTAAACAAGGGAGCTGCAGTTCTGACCCCAATCACATTTGGCAGAGGTGGCTATACTCCAGAGTTATTAGTTGTTAATCGGGAGGTCAAAAGGTCACAGAGGCAATTTTACCGTGAGCCCGGGGCAGCGCTGAGCCCCAGACAACACCAGGAGATGGAAGTCAGGGGGAAGAAAGTCCTGGGATGTACATTGCTGGACACACACATACAGACATTTACAGAGGTGCAGTTAGGTGTGAGGGCCAGTTTGTCTTTCCTACAGGAGGTGGACCCATTAACGAAGACTAATAAATAGGCTCAATCTGAATACAGCACATCGGGGAGTAGAGAAAGGCTGTTTGAAAAGTGCAGACAGTAAGGAATGAGACAGGGAAAGGAAGCTGGATGCTTTATGTTGCTAGTTTTCTAATTCAAGAAATTTAATTAATACTAGACAATTAACAATATTAGGCAGTCTTTTTACATAAAACTGCACCACATTTTTCCATTTTAGCCTCTTAAACAAGGGGGGAATACATAAAACTCCACCGGTAAAATTTTAACCAGCAGGTGGAGCCATTGCGCGCAGCTCCAAGCTGACACCAAAAGGTAAAAGCCCCATAGCTCTAGAACTGTTATAGCTAGATGTCTGAAATTTTCTGCATTTGTGGTTGACATGATGTAGAACAAATATATTACAATAAAACCTGCCTTTTCTCAAGAATGTCTTTATTACTGCCTTTCAAAAAAGACCTATCATTTCCGAGAATAAAAAACCCCAACTTTGAGTCATGTTTGAACTGATGCAGGTTGGTCTGTGTTCTAGTCTCCCAATTTTAATTTATATATTAGAAAATAGAGGGTGTTAGCTTTCAAATAATGTACTTCACATGTAATCTGGGGCTTACAGTTCCTAAGTTATTTGCTTTTCCATTTTGGTATGCAAAATGGGCGAGGATTACCCAAAATGAGGTGGATGTTAAAGTTAAAACAATCCTTTATGTGGTAAAAAGTTTTATACTAATCTTTATCACGTGATGACATATATATAAGAGGGTGTGTGGATTCAGACTCCCTCTCATACCAAGCAAAGTATTTTTACTGTTTGAAAGAAGAGGAGCTATGGGCTCAGAATGGCTATATTTGGATCGGGCCAAAGTTTCAGACCTTGTCCCAGCATGTACAGTTTACATGAAGAGATAAAAATGTCACAACACATTAAAGGTTTACTTTATTTATTGCTTGAAAGCAGAAAATGATAATAGAAAAAAAAAAAAAAAAAAAAAGGTTTTCACCATTAATGTTCGAAATATTCCATAAATGATGTCAGAACGCGGCGGCGCGTATGGTCTTCAATCAGCCTGAAAAGTCTCATGTCATCCCTCTGTTTGAGCCGCACTGGTTACCTCTGGCTGCCCGCATCAAGTTCAAGTCCCTGGTGCTACCCTACAAAGTGCTTCAGAGTATGGCTCCTGTCTACTTGAACCCTCTAGCAAAGGCTTATGTCACAACTTGGTCACTCCAGTCAGCAATTGATTGTGGTCTAGCAGTGCCTACACCAAGGTTAGGACAATCCAGACTTTTTTCATGGGTTGTTCCAAAATGGTGGACTGACCTACCAAGCGCTACAAGAACAGCGGCGTCCCTTTCTATCTTTAGGAAACTCCTAAAGACCAACCTTTTTAAAGAGTATCTCTTATTCTAACTGTTACCCATAGCTCTGTACCCCCCTAATACTCTTACTCCATTTCCCTCTCTTTGCTGTGTGGTCGGAAAATTTTATTTCTTTAATTTCATATATTAATTTATCCTATTTACTCATTATAAAAGATTTCAATCAGTCTGTTTCACCTGCAAGGCCACACATTTCTCCTGCGTGAGGGTGTTTCTAGACCAGACACAGCTTCTTCCCAAAACAAGCCAGATTCTTTCTCAAGGTTTATTCATAACATGTTTCTGTTAACCAAAATGTCGGAATTTTTTTGACTCTGACTACTTTCCATTGCTATAAGAAAGGGGGAACGAACGCTGCCCAGGCAGAACAGGGCTGGATACTGTGCCATAAGGGCTGTATGATGAACTGTTCGCTCTTGAGTGAAATTCATCGATCTCCGATTATTTTACTATGGTGAATAGTAAACCAGCAGGTGGAGCCATTTAAGGAGCTTTTTAAAAGCTCCTTAAAAAAACTGCATCGAGTCATATCAGCAGACCTTCGTCGTCTGCTGTAGTCTGCTCCTCGTTATCGCCATTCAGTTAACTGCTGTAAAAGAAAGCTGTTTTAGCAGCTATTATAATTATAGTCATTTCTTTTTCTTTATAAAAAAAAAAAGAAATGATAGGATGAGGGCCTACTGACTCCTTATGAAGCGTTTTATGCTCCTTACCAGTCCCTTTTTGAATGACCTTTACCTCAATGGAAGCAGAAAATATTGATTTTCAGGTTTTAATTCATTCAGCTTTTATAACATAAGTCAGTAAAAACTGCTGATACACATTGATCACCAGTAAAACTGTGGTTTATAAAGTTATATTGCAATAAAAAGGGATTCAAACTTGAAGTGTATTTAAGTTTTCTTTATGGTACTTTGCTGTAATAACCTGAGCTACATTAGTGTGGGACTCTAACAGTAGACGGTGTTTTAAAAAGAATAAAATCTTCTGGTCTATGATTGGTGTGTTTTGGGATTCAAGTTTAGCAGGCTTGACCCAATTCTCTGTAAAACCAGCTAAAGAGAGATTAAACAAGAATGGTAAATACATGTCAGTGACCCCAGATGAAGTCCTTATGTTAATGAAAGGTATAATGGAGGATGTTCTTTTTCCGTAAGGCCGTCCTACGTGCTCGTCCCCATTTTCACTTACCGGTGGTGAGTCTGCCATAGTGGAAATATTGCACATCTTCTTTTGGAAAGTAAGCTTGTATGACGATGCAAACAGCAACTTTTAAACAGAGCGTGTGCACGCTCTTGCACGCGTTTAATAGATGTTCCCTCTCAAGAGCAGGTATAGCATTGTAAATTAGCATTAGTTTTTTTTTTTTTGTAAGTGGAGAGGGCGGACCTTCAAAAATTCACGAAAATCCTCCACTATACCTTCAATAATTAAACAGTTTGCCTGCTTTAATTGTTGCCTTAAGAGGGTTTGGGTGAGGCAACCAAAATATATGTGCTTTATCATAAACTGATACTGGTTTTATAGATTTAATGTATGTAGCTTTTCAAGGTAAGAAAAGAAAGTAATCTTAACGTCGGACAAATGCAGCAAAATCTTAATATAAAACTTATTAAAATCTTTTATAAGTTTTAGCACCATAGGTTTGCACTATATCATGATAGAGCTTCATCAGAAACATCTCCAGCTATTTATTATTTATTTTATATTTCTGCTGTGGGTAAACTCAGACAGAGATTTGCCAATATTTCTCAGTAGGACTGAACAGATGAAAATACTTTGAAATGACTTGTTAACACACTGGATGTATGTTTACAGTCATTTTCCTGGTGGAAGGTGCACCTTCATCCCAGTTTCAGCTCTTTTACAAGTGTTTGTTCCCAGGATGCTCTACTTTCAAGCTTTTTTGTGTTGTATTTTATTGGGGCTGTTTAATCGATTCTTTAGAAATGTATGAAGGAAAGCCTGGAACAGCAAACAGAGTGCTGATCACATGACTTCTACACGTTATTTACTGGAATTAAAAGTAAACATTGCTCATTTAAAATCCATGCCACACTTTTCAGATTTGATCAAAGAAAATATTAAACTAGAACAGATTTTTTTCCCTTTCCACTTCTGCTCATCCACCACATAAGATCCCAGGGGAAATACATTAATGATTTTTGCAATTTGTTTACAAACTTCTCAGGGTATGAATACTTTTTGCAGGACAGCTTAGACTGAATTGTTACAAGCATGAAGGCATGATTAAAAAATACACCACTCATATACAGACTATGGCTGATGTTCACATAAAAGTCAACACGGTTTAGCCTGAGTAAACTTTCTATTCCCGAGTTAAAATATCTGCAGCTCAAGCCGTGCAGCGCTGCAGTAAAAAGGGGGTTTTAAGAGCTGGTAAAAGGAGTCATTATGATTTGTTGTCAAATCCGACATCCCGGCTGGTGAACCTAAACGGACACGAGGAGGGAGGGAGCCCCTCAGCTCACTCTAATCTCTGCAGTCATAAAAACACTGATTCATGAACAGTTAGACACTTTTCTACCTCTGTGGCAGCACATAAACCACATTATTATGTATGAGAGCCTGAAGGGAAGCTGACATATAAAACATTCAGGAAACACTGGATTCTAGTAACGGATCATAATAAAGCACACAAAACTCTTATGATGGAGAGACGGCGAGGAAAAGAAGGATTTGGAGATAAATACAAAAGGTCTTATTCTTCTCAAGAGCTGAAACCGAAGAATTTTTTTTTTTACTTTAAACAAAAAAATATCAATGCTATTTTGCTACATAGAGCAGCCGTAACACATTGAAACTTGACCAAATTTAAAAGAGGAAATGTATCTGTACCTGCTTCAGTCTCTTGACCTCATGTTCCAGCTCCACCTCTCTGGACCTGCAGTTAAAGTCTGCCAGTCCAGATGAGGAGCTGCGGCTTCGACCGGGCTTCTCTGCCTCTAGCTTGTAGAGCTGCAAGAGCTCCAGCTCTCGACGCAGGTCCTCTATTAACTACAAACCACAGAACAGACTGATAAATGACATCATACCGTATCTGGAAAGCTTTTTGTCAGCCTGGGACAGTCGGTTGACTAAATACCTCCTGCATGGCGTCTTTCTCTTTCTGGAACTGCTCCCTGTTTTGCCTCAGTTTGTCCATCATTTTCCTGTAAAGGTCCATTTCATCCTTCAGCCGCAGACTGGTATCCTCTAGCTTGTCTGTCATCCTTTGCTTCTCCTGATGATTGAGAAACACATTTTTATTTTTATTTATCTCATATGAGCGAGATTTATTTACACATATCATATAAATAAATAAACTGGGTTAAGTCTTAAGTTCTTAAATCGGGTCATGTGTTTAACCACAGTTACCATTCACTCGTGTTAGGAGAGAAAAGCTTCACTCAGATCCCAGTTTAATCCAGGTGAAACAGCAGAAAAGTAGGCTGCATTTACTGTAAAATTAAAAGCATTAGTTTGACTTAAACTAACTGGTTCTCTATAGCCACATAATATATTTGCTTTTCCTTTCATTTTAGACCAATTCAGGCTTTACTGAACTGAAGATATAAAATCAGGCTATATATAATACTAACCTTAAACAGGTGGTAAGAATCTAGTGGCTTTTTGCTTTATGTCTGAGTCCTGATAAGAGTATTCAAACTTCACAAGGCTGCACAAATTATACTGTATAACATATTCCACATAGATATACAAACAGCATTGCTATTATTACTAAATTGATTGACATATCTCAAATAGCCCCTCTATGTACAAACTGGCAGTTACTAACTTGCTCAGAGTAACTAGTTACTAATCAAAGTAGCTATGTAGTTACATTTTAACAGCGAAAATATCTAGTAATTTTCATAACTTTACTGTTGTTGGAATTTCAAATCCAACTGGATGTTTAATTATGACATATAGGTAGTTATATATTAAAGGAATAGTACACCCAAAACATGATTAGCCTTCATTTTCTACTCACCCCCATGCTGAACAACACTCTGGAGTACTTTTTTGATATCTCAAATGCATCTGGAGATCTGGGAGGCTTCTTGCTGTCTGCTGACATTCAAATAATGGAGGTCTGTGGCGCCCGAGGCAGAAAGGTCCATAAAAGTCCACAAAAAACGTGTCAATATTCCTCCATACTGCTCGTCCAATGTATTCCAAGTGTCCTGAGTGGGTAGCATCCAGAATTTACTCGAAACAAAGTCATTTAGAATGTTTTTAGAGCATAAACAGTAGTGTATAGGATTTCCTAAAAGCGCGTGCCTGCGAGTTCACGAGTCTACGGAAACCGCGGCAGACCAAACCAGACGAAAGTGCGCATTCAGCGTCTGCTCTGCCGATAATGCAAGCGTAGAAGAAGAAATGTGCTGTTTACCTGTGCAAAGAAAGAAACAACGAAAGAAAAATGTCTGAGGACTTCAGTGTTGAGGAAGAGCATGAGTTCTTTGCCGAGCTGAATGTGCACTTTCATCTGGTTTGGTCTGCCGCGGTTTCCGTAGACTCGTGAACTCGCAGGTAGGGCTGCAACAACGAATCGATAAAATCGATAAAAATCGACTTTTAAAAGCGTTGGCAACGAATTTAATCATCGATTAGTTGTGTCGCGCGATTAATGCGTCATCCGCCGCCGCCGTCATCCGGGGGAAGAAAAAAAAATATGACGGAGCGAGTCAGCGCCGCAGTTGCAGTGTTGCCAACTCAGCGACTTTTCAGACCCCTCCAGCGACTATTTTTCAAAAAAGCGACTGGCGACAAATCTGGCGACTTTTTACGGTGTCACTGGCGGCTTTTGCCTGCCGTGGGGCGCCTCCCCCATCCCAACCCCTTTCTCCCTCTCCCACAGGAATCTCAGCGCGGCAGTCAGAGTCAGAGCCGCAGGATTTTAGTGAGGAGTTTACCCTCAGCGTCCAGACTGCAAATGAAGCGCGCATGTGCCGGGATTGACGGCGCAAATTGATCACAATAATTAAAATAGCCTGCGCTTTGTAAAGTGAAAAAAGTCGTAACATGCAACTTTTGTAAAAACAAATGAACATGGCACGGAAGCACCACTGTTATGACGCAGCACCTGAAAAGAAAACACGTTGGAGCCTTCAATGGCAGTGAAGAGAGCTGATCAGCAGGATGAGTAACCATGTTTGTTTGGTTTTAAAGTGGGGAAACGTAACGTTAGTTTCTCAGTTCGCTCATCTGATGCTTTCCTTACCTTGTTAGTAGGTTACAGACAGTGATAAGGTTGGCTACTTATTTTACTTTTAATTTCATTTAAATTTGGTTAAGCAGCGTTTATATTTTCTTTATAAATAAATTAACTTGCAAATTATGAGGGCAAGGCTTTTAAAGTTTAAATCTTCTGGCAAAGATAAAGAAAAGAAGATCCTGCAATTTATGGAAGTAAAGCAGAACAAAATCCAGCAAGATCAGTAATATGTCAATTAATTATCTGCCACATTCCCATGTAAATATCTGTCTTTGGAGGATGTGTTTTTTAGCACCCCTAGTTCTCTCATTTTTATTCAGAATACAATTTATAATTTGAATCACAGGGCTATTTTTATCTCTATGGTTCAGTATTTTCTCAAGCAGCAACTTTAACTGCTATACTTTCCTGTCTTAAAAGGCAGAACTCTTCTAGTCTAAAAAAAACTCATTTGTTGAAATGGGGGGACCTATTGTTTGAACCCCTTAGAGGCTTTTAAAAACAAAAATGCCTGTCTCTTTTTGCGCTTTATGAAACAAAGTAGCCTATATTTTGTGGATGTACAGCTACATTTCTCATGTAAGTTTGCGTAGTTTTTACACAAACATTTATTTTTCATATTGCACCAGTACAGTTAATGAGCAACCTGTACTTGTGTGCTTGTTTGTTCTGTCTAAAATGTTTATTTTGGAATAAAGAAGTTAATATAAAAAATTTTTTTTGTCCGATTCATCGATTAATCGAAAAAATAATCGGCCGATTCATCGATTTTTAAAATAATCGTTAGTTGCAGCCCTACTCGCAGGCACGCGCTTTTAGGAAATCCTATACACTACTGTTTATGCTCTAAAAACATTCTAAATGACTTCGTTTCGAGTAAATTCTGGATGCTACCCACTCAGGACACTTGGAATACATTGGACGAGCAGTATGGAGGAATATTGACACGTTTTTTGTGGACTTTTATGGACCTTTCTGTCTCAGGCGCCATAGACCTCCATTATTTGAATGTCAGCAGACAGCAAGAAGCCTCCCAGATCTCCAGATGCATTTGAGATATCAAAAAAGTACTCCAGAGTGTTGTTCAGCATGGGGGTGAGTAGAAAATGAAGGCTAATCATGTTTTGGGTGTACTATTCCTTTAAGTGAATTAAATAATCTAAAGGGTTAAACATTTGAGAACATATTAAACTGTATCATTTCGGTGTGTTTGATGAGACAGGATTATTTTTTTTGCTTAGAATAAAAGAATAAAGCAATTTAGATGCTTTCAAACTTTATATCTTTGTACATTTTTAAGCTTCAGCTAGCTGTAAAATAGGTGTGAAGCTGAAAAATGTTTTTATAACCCGTGTAATAAAATAAAATACCTTTTGCAGAATTAAACAGAGGTTTAACGCTCCGAGAAAGACAGTTAATAATATAAAGTAAAGAACAACATGTGGGCAGCCAGCTGTCAGTCAGTGACGATTGAGATGATGTGAGGAGCTTCTTTAGATTAGAGATGCTTCTAACCGACCTGTAGAAAATCTTTGTCCTCGCGCATAGTGAGGAAATCACAGAAACTTTAAGCACTTTTCTTCAGGCTTGCGATCACTGAATCACTGGCTCTACGTCATCATCTCTCCTCTCGGTCTGTGTTCAATGAATGCTGGACGCCACATTGCGGCTCCCCAGCCAATCAGAGTCTGCGCACCTTGCCTCCCTTTTGCAGGTCGCTGCGGCAGAAATCCCTCGCTTTAATTGATCGAGTTGAAGCAATGCGTTGCTTTAAATGGGTCTTAGCAATATGTGAAAATGAATTAGTTGATAAAAAAAAAACCACATTTATTAATGTCGTTATTCTGCAGCGCCATTACCCCTGACACTGCCAACCAGGTAGGCATTAAGCCTCCAATATGACATTATCTAAACATTAGTGTAAGAATAAACATGCTGTTCCACCCCAATAGGGGTTTTTTCATAATGCAGATGATATCATATGAAGCCGTATTTGCAGACCAAGCTACGGCTTTGGCTATGAGCCCAAAAGGAGGAAACTATTCTTTGAAAATCCTTCTGAGGAGAAGAGAACTGGGCTCACCTCATCAAGTCTCTCTGTCTGTGACTTGAGTCGACACAAAGTAAGAGACATGTCACTGTTCTCCTCTTCCAGATGCTTGATACTAAAGAACAGAGATCAGCAAAAGTTAATATATGAAACTACAACCATATATCAAATACAAAACTCTAAGTAACATTAGAGACACCTAAAATTATAATCAGATTTTTATTTCATTTTAAGTATTTCACTTTTTATCTGAAGATGGAATCTGTTGTTTTTCTCTGAAATCAGAGCTAAGGCTGATCTGTAACTGTAATGGATAACTGTACCTGCACATAGGTCAGATTTCTGCCAACCAGGAAGTGTTTTTTGTTCTACACATTACTGTGTTTAAAATACATTATAGCAAACAAACAGAACATATAAAGTGTTCAGGTTTTTAGATCCTAACTAAAATCATCACTCACTTTCTTCTTCGAGGAAACATTATTTCTGACAATACAGCGTATCAATTTTAAGAAACTCAATTTCTGTGTACAGTTTCAAACATGCAGGATTGTTGAACTAAAATACAATCTTTTGACCTGCAACAGTTCAGTTGTTTTATGTATAATGCAACCATTTTTAAGTTATTTTGGTGTAATATTGCCTAAATGTATTTCTCACCGACTGGTCAGTAGCTCTATCTGGGTGTTCTTGTCTCTTTCCATTTTGCTGTAGGCCTCTCTGTGTCTTCTTAACTCCTCCTGGGTATTTTGCTCAGAACGAGTCTCTTGGTCCTTCAGCTGCTCTTCTAGCTCATTTACCCTGGGAAGAGTTTTTCACATTACATTTAATAAAGATCAACATCGACAGGAGGGTTCTTTTAAAATGCTACAGTCTCCATCTAACAAGATTAAACCTGACCCACAGGGTAGACAAACCATAGAAATGTTGCTAGACATGAAAAATCTAGACCTTTAAGGTGAACTGGAAATATTATGATGCTTTGTGCTTGATGCATACTACGTGGGTTTTTGTGTCTTCACCAAGTTTCCAACAATTTACCAAACACTTAGGCTACGTTCACACTGCAGCTTGAAGTGACCCAAATCCGATTTTTTTTGTCCATATGCGACCTGGTTCTGATCTTTTCATGGCTGTCTGAACAACACAGATCCGATTTTTTCCAATCCAACCCAGGCCACTTGGCTATGTGCTCCTGAATCCGATACAAATCAGATCTTTTCAAATGTGACCTGTGTGTGAACGGCCAGGTCGCATTCATCCGACCTGAACGTCATTAATACCTGACATAGGTCACTATTCTGCTTCTTGCTACACAGAAGCGGCAAGAAAAACAGCAACCTTGGCAGACGATGATGCGCAGAGTAGTATTTATGTTTAGCCATATTGAAAAGATTGTGTTTTTATCATTGGAAAACACCGAAAGCACGCTGGCCTGTGACGTCATTGCGTCCTCTACTGCGCAGGCAGAACACTTGCGTTGTATGACTGCTGTTCACGCAGGAGATCACATACAAGTCGCATATATCTGGAAATATGAACAGGAAAGCCAAAAAATCGGATTTCGCAAAAAAATCGGAATTGAGCATCAAGGCCTGCAGTGTGAACGTAGCCTTATGCTCACAACTGAATCATAATCCAACGATAACCACCTTAATCTCACTCTAGAGGCAGCAACCTGCTAGCAGATCCATCAATCTAGCGAGGATATTCCCGTTAGTTTAAGTCTTCCTCTGAAGTTAAAACACAATCATCTAGCCTGACGTAGTCCTACTCAATTCTAGTCAGATTATGAGTCTGATACTGTTCCATAGAGCTGTGATTATGGGGCGTGTTTTGAACGAACCAGGAAAAAAAATGCCTCTGCACTCAATTGGATAGACCTACAACCAATAAGAGCAACGGAGTGCGTGACGTATGTCAAGCGACGCATAGTTGTTGTCAACAAAAATCAAAGCGTGCTTATTGCACGCCTAGAATAAGAAGATGAGCCTTGATCGCGTTTCTCTGTTCCTCTTTTAAAATTAAATTGCTGTCGATATCTTCTAGAACAGACCTAATAGCAGAATCTACACACCTAAACTCTCCAGCGGCAGCCATTATTGTTGTCACCCAAGCGCGCTTTGGTCACGTGGTTGATTACGTTACTGTTGATCATCTGTCGATCATAGTATAAAGCCCGCCATGACAATTTGATTGGATCGCCTGACAGTGGGCGATAATACTCGCGCTACTATGGAGCAGAGCCAGACCGAACTTCCCGACCTCAAACCTTGTGGGCGGGACTAAGTTCGGAATGGCACCCAGGCTAACAATCATCACTAATGCATCTAAGTTGCATTTTGACTGCAGCCTGATAACCATAACCTTCCTCAGTCTACAACTAACCAGCTGAGCAGGACATGGGCACAATTTGGAGGAGTGTGTACTTCTCCCAAGGGCAGCCATTGCAAGAAGCACTTTGAGTACAGCTTCAACAGTAAAATGGTCCTGAATATGGAAGTTCATATTAAAATGGAGCATTTGGTTTTATGCATTAAGGTGACTTAGTGAGATCTTTCAGGTTGCAGTCTCAGCAGTAGAGGGATGTAATGCATATCACTGCCATGATGCTGAAAATGTTGCCAACTGTGCTGTGTGTGTGTGTGTGTTTGTGTGTGTGTGTGTGAGTGTGTGCGATTCCTCGTGTTATAACCAGGCCATTAAGCTGGCCTGGTGAGTTTGTTTCTCATGTATTAATAAAGGTAGATGTTATTAGACACCCACCTCTGTTGGTGGTTGAGAGGAGCATTAGAGCTAACCTTTCTCTATCCAGAATTTTTACTGGTTAAGCATCAGAACAAAAAACTAAAATCCTTGATAAACCTAATGAACACCTCAAAGAGTGAGCCAGAGTAGAAAGCTAATCTAATGCATGGAGAGAGAAGCGTCCATCTTACAGCAAATTCCAACATGATAAGAGACCCCAAACTAAAACTAGGATCTAGAGCACAGCAATGAGTCAACCTCACCTGTGTACTAGTTGTGTGTTCTCCTGCTTCAGTCTGGACTTCAGGTCGCTATTCATCAGAATCTCATTCTCAAGTTCGGCGACCTTCTTCTCAAGAGAACTCACCTGACAGAAACAGATAGCTTGATCAAATGAGTTTTTATTCATGTGTTAAGTAATTCACATTCATTATGAAAGATGTCTGGTGAGTAGGGCTGGGTATTTTCGCCAAAATCCTGAATCGATTCGATTTTGAGTCCTATAGTTGTAAATCGATTAATTTCAATTCCATCTGTTTTTACAATAATGAAAGTGGTTAAACTGTGTTTCAAAATGCTCATGTATTGTATTTTTTTCCTGTCATATAAAACACAATTGCAAACTTCTAAATCAGACAGTTTAAACTTGAGATGTGAACAAAACTGTTTTAAAAGTGCAAACTTGTTTGTGAAAAGTGAAAAAGTGAAGCCTCACTCCAGCAAGCGGACGTGACACAGCAGGGATACATGCATGAGCTGCATTATCTCCTCTGCACCATATTTGCAGCGTTGTCTGTAACAATTACAAGGTGTTCGCTGCTCAGCCACAATTTATTAATGTCTTCAGTCAACCTATTGGCTATATCTGCAGCTGTCTGGCTTGAAGTCATCTTGAGAGCATCTTTCCTGCTCATTTGAATGTGAACGTCACACGTGTCACTATACTAATCAATCTAATTTTCTAGACATCGATTTTGCAAAAAATGTAAAGGAATCGATTCAAAATCGATTAAATCGATTTTTTTTACCCAGCCCTACTGGTGAATGACTCTAAACCTATGCTTTACACTAAAACAAAGAAAAATTCATCTCACGACAGAAAATAAACTGTTTTCAAATGATGTATTATAATTAAAACAGTTTATTATCTCCTTTAAAAGAGGTACAAAATGAAACAACTCATTCCCAATTTCACATTTCTGAAAGAATACAGGTAGGGCAGCAACAAACGATTACTTTGCTGATCAATAAACTGTTTGAAAATTTGTTTGATTAATAATCAGATAGCTAGAGTTCCCCAAGTGAGATTTATTCACAGAATCTGAACAAGGTGAAGCCAAACTACACTTTGATTGATGCTGTTTTAGAGTCTGTATACTCCGGTTAGTGACTATTTGATTAGTAAATTAGAAGAGACTTAGACGTAGACAACTTTTGTTTTCATTTTGTACACACAGAGTGTATACAAAACGAAATTTCGTTTTGTACAGCTTTCAGAGAGTAGATGAGCAGCAGCTTGGAGTGAAAATAACATTTTCATTTCATAAAATGCAGCCGTGATTGAATGTAAACAGTGTGGGAGAGCCCACTTTTTGTGTATATTGCAAATATAGCAAACTATTGCTGTATTTTTTCAGAGATGTGGTACATCCTTTATAAGTTTTAAATGAATCTAAAATGCAAGACTTTCCATACATTAAAGAATCAACATCTTTGGTTTTTGGGAGGAAAACATGTTGTTCTTTTCACTTAAGTTAGTTAACTTGCCGCTACACCCCTAACCAACCTGCCTTCCTTTGTTACAGATGGTGGAAAAAGTTTTTTTCCAAGCATAGATCTACATTCAGCCTGCAGACACAGACAATGCAATTGACCCCTTACCTTTTCGTTGATGTCGACATCACAGGAGTCAATGCTATCTCTGAAAAGGTCTTCCGTGCTGCCGTTACGGCTGCTTAGGTTGCTGTTATGGAGCAGCTGCCTGCTCAGACACAGATACACACACTTAGGGAATACGGAGGAGCAACTTATGCATTTCAGGGTGACACACTATTGTTTAAAATTTAAATCAGCACACCCCTTTAAAAGTGATGGGAAAATTTCTGCTCCATTGACAACAGCAGTAATATAGAGGTACAAGGATAGGAGAGGAGGAAGGGAGGGAGAACAGACAGGGTAGATAAAGAGGTGGATGTAATCAAAGCAGACATGTACACTAGAAAGAACAAGGAGATGGGGGGGCAAACCTTATTGAGTGCATATATCAGGCCTGACAAGCTATTTTCACTCTGTCACTGTAACTCAGTTTGTGTTTCTCCAGTTAGGACAAAAGCTTGCAGACACCTTAGGTGAAAATGGTTACCTAGCTGCTGCTAGGTAACCATTTGCTGCCCAAATTGATGCAGAGATGGAGCGGAGTCCCCCTAATTATATACAAATATGTAATGTAACCAAATAAATTTCGCATTGGGATTATTTAAGTATTCCTGATTCTGATTCCTGGTAAATGGGACAGGTGTTTAATGAAACGGTGTCCAGCTTGAAAGAGCTCCTGCATGTCGCTGAATGTGTGCATTGATGACTATCTATTTACTATCATGAGTTCAATTCATGTTAATGTGTATTTAAAGACATTTCAATTAGTGGAAAAAAAAATCTTTGTGCGAAAAAAAGTCTAATCAACCAAAACTTTCGCGACAAAAAGTTTTTGAATCAGAAAGCATAATATCTTCATAAAATATCAATTATCCAATTATTTGTTTAAAGTTCAGAAAATTATGAATCTTCTTCTGAAAAAAAAAAAGATCCAGGTGGATAATTAAAAAGGATAGGTGGCAACATAGATTTTCTTTTCAATCAGCTAAATAATCTCTGTTGCCCCAGGATACTGAAAACACCACGTAGTTCATGCTGAACATTACTCTGCCTGCAGCCAGAGCACTAAAACTATAAAGAGTACTATTCATTAGCTATAGGTTTTGTAATTAAGTACATAATTGCTCTTTCTACTAATAACCTTTGATGATGAGCTGCAGCTGTGTTTTACGGTCTGAACCGAATGAAAGACAAAATGCAGATATGACTCTACTGTATGATGGTATACGAGTCGATTGATTTTCAGCCAACCACATTTTTAGGAATGAACAGCATGTTGTCATTTAAAAAAAATGATGAAAACACAGACTGATTATGCGTAGGACATTGAGACTTTCAGCTGCTTCTATTCAGAAACAAGCCTATCAGGAGTAATGGGAGTGTTGGTGCCTGTGTGCTTTACAGCAACAATGCTGAACAGCAGAAATTATATATTCATACTGTCACTATTATTTTTTTATTTCAACTGCAGTTTATATTAGTAGAACTCTTCCTCTTAGGTTACTGATGCGCTATGTATGGATTAGTGGTGGGCATTAATCATACCATTTGTCATTATTATTATAAATTCCTCATCATGATAAGAATTTTTATTTATAATCTAAGTGATAAATTACAATGAATGATATTTAAATCAATAAAAATGTGTGAATTGTCAGAATTTTTCATTTGCCTTGTAGTTTTTGTGATAGAAATCATACTTCTTTGTAAAAGTGGTGTCTGAAGATGCTTATTTTAAATTGGTACAATTATTAAAATTAGTATCTGTTCATTCAGGGCTATCACTGCTGTGGCATGCAGTCTCAGCCAAACAGTTATCTTTTTTTTATATATAAACTTTTATCGTTATCATAGTATAAAAAAATATTATGATAATATTTTAATTGAAGTCATAAAGCCCCGCCCTAGTATAATGCCTTGTGCTCCTGTGTTTTCTTTCATGTCATTTATTTATTTCCTACATATTTAGTGGATTAATCATCCTTTTGGAAGAATGTCTTGTAATTGAATCTCAGCAGGAATCCTCCTGGATTTAATGGTCATGTTCTCCCTGAGCATGTAGGGGATCATCTCTGGGTATTCCCCCTCCTTCCCACAGCCTAAAGACATATGCTAGCCTAATAGGTTGCTTTAAATTGCTCTATAGATGTTGTGTATGAGAGTGTCTTAGGTTTTTCTCTGTAATGGACAGACCTATGCAAAACACCAACCCAGTTAGGATTTGGTATATAAAGTACCATAATTTTCGGACTATAAGCTGCACCTGAATATAAGCCCCAGAAGCTAAATTGCATGATTTGTACATATACAGGCCGCACTGGACTATAAGCCGCATGTTTTTTATGTTTAATTACCATATGGTTCGTGCACGGAGAGGATTGTCGGGAAAGAGGCAACTGTTTGGGGAAGCTCCTTATATTAACATTTCAACACAATTGAATTGAGACTAGGGATGCACAATATAATCGGCCCCCTATCGATATCGGCCTTAAAACTGAATATCGGACATCGGCCACCCCACCGATATCTAACCCGATATTTGATCAGCTTCTGAGTTTCTAAAGTCTAAAAAAAAATAAAAAATACTGCTTCTTCTTCTTCCTCAAAAACTTCTTTTTTACAGACTTAAATCCCTACATTAAAATATCACAATATCTTCATATGCTGATATATTGCCATTTAAAAACACCATATCAATCTCTTTTACTAATGAAATATTGCTATATGTCATCGTTATGCTACGAAATCCCCCGACAATTCACGAAATTTTGCCATATTTTATATGTTGATATATTGACGCGGTATCGATCTATTTTACTAACAAAATCTCACAAGAATTTGCAAAATATCACAAGAGTTTGTAACAGAACGATGAAATTTAACGAGATTTTGAAAGTAAAATAGATCGATACCACGTTTTTAAAAATCAATTTGATATCAGCATATGAAAATATATTTGAGTATATTATTTTTCGAAGTGTCAGAAATGGATAATAAAACTGCTATTTTCAATGACTACTTATTTTTGTCCAGCTTTAACATCGGTATTGATATCGGTTATCGGCTACATGAGTTTTAAAATATCGGCAAATCGGATATCGGTCAAAATCCCAATATTGTGCATCCCTGATTGAGACAATTCTTTCTGTTGGCGTCTCCAACGTCTCACCATTGACTCGTTGATTCCAAGGTTACGTGCAGCTGTTCTATTTTCTTCGTTTACTGCCAAATTGACTGCCTTTAACTTAAAAGCTGCAACATATGCATTTCAACGTATGTTTTCCATAATGAGGTCGTCACACAAACTGTATTGCGCTCGCAATGTCCGTCTTTCTCTGAGTCTGCTTGCGGAGGTACCGTATTACCCTAGTGGCCGTTAGCTGTAAAAGTCCATAGATAAGCCGCATTGTTATATAAAAGCCGCAAGGTCGAAAAATGGGGGGAAAAAGTCGCGGCTTATAGTCCGAAAATTAAGGTAAATGGATCGATTGGTGGATGGATATTTCATGATAGTAATAAGGAAGCCCTAAGTGGCCTTTATTCTCCTGAGTTGCTGGATGTATCTAGAAACAAGTCAAACATGATCAAAGCAGCTCATAAAAAGCATAAACACACCAATGAGTGACCTTTGGATCAGACAAGCACATACAGGCATCTTTTTAAATGCACACATGTAAACAACTGATTGACCTACCTTCCAAAGGCAGTGCTGGAGATTTTCCTGCTGGGACTGCATGTAAAAAAAAAAAAAAAGAAAAAACGTTTTTTCATTTATAAAATACATAAACTTAAAAATAACTGGTCTAAAACATATAATAAGGAAGCAGAAAGTGCTGATCTAATTATTCATTTAGACGTTACATTTATTCTCATTATCCTCCTGAGATCTGGCCTTATTTAGAGACATTTTATATATACAATATCTACCTTTTATTTTTAGTTACACCTCTCTTAGTACTTCCCTTCAAATGTTTTTATTTTTCAGGTGCTTCAGGGATTATTCATTAAAGGAAAGTGGATCCAATTAGAGGAGCATTAGTAGACCGAGCATTAGAGGAAAATAATACTAAAAAATAAGCTATAAGACACCAATATCCCTCATTCTGATCATTCTAATGTTCCCTGATGATAGAAAAATGTCAGCCGATTGTAAGATTGCATGTGCAGTGTTGTTTTCAGGTCAGCTGTAGTACAGATCATGCATTATGTTTCTATTAATAGTCTCCCTGTTACAATAGCTGTTGAGGTAAGTACAGGAGAGGCAGCTTTACCATTAGAGTCTGTTTTTTGTGTACAGGTGCAAAACAACAGGCCTTTGAACACCTTTCTGACGATATGGCATCAGTTTTATTGTCTTATGGAAAGAAAAAGAAAAAACAGCCCACAAAGCAAACAGTGACTCATTGGTAAAAATGAGAGGAAGATCCTACACAGGAAGAGACGTGTATAGTGCCTGAAATAGCTGGCGGCATCTGTTTCTGTTTACCTAGAGACACTGAGGTGGATGGATTCTGTCATGCATGATCAAGGTATTATTTTAAATCACCCTTATTGCTATTAAAATACACATTTATATTACATCCATGCAGGCATGTCCAGCATGAGAGGATACCAATAAAACATTTCTGTGAAAAAGCCATGTTTTTACAGAAACATGTCCATTTGAAGCGACCCTGAATAAAGTCCAGTTAATTAAAAGCCTTCTGACATCATTTAAATAGCAAATTCATTTTGTCTGTTTGGAATGTAATTCCAGAACAAATCCAGATGCTTTGTAAAGGCATTAAAACACCTGGGTGCGAAGATGTTCATAGAGAATATTAGAAAACAAAAAGATTCCCAGAGACCAATTGACACGGCAGGAGAGTCGGGGAGAAAGCTGTGAAAAAGCTTAAAGCAGGATCAGGTTATAAAATAACAACAAAGGCTTTCAAGATCTCACAGAGCTATGTTTAATAAATCACCTAAAAATGGAAAGAGTGAGGCCCAAACGGGAAACCTACCAAGACATGGCCGTCCATCAAAACTGAGAGGCCGAGCAACGAGAACATTAATCAGAGAAGCAGCCAAGAGGGCTTAGGTAATCCTAGAGGTGTTACTCAGAGGGAGATTAGTGACGCCGAGAGGGAGTTTGGTGCGCAGCCTGGTGCCAGTCTCTATGCAGACAGCAGGGCTAGTGATGGAGGTGGAGCCCTAAGAGGGGGGTAAGAAATAAGCTACTGTACCTATAGCAGAGGACACAAAGCAGGAAGAGAAGGAACTGAACTGGTCAACTGAAATGCAAATCTTTGTGCAAAAACATGAATATCAACCTCTGATTTCCACTGAAAAGCATGGTGGTGGCAGCATCATCCTGTGGGGATGCCTTTCACACTTTTGATCGATGCAACAATTTTTTTGTTTTTTTTTTGTTTGGTGAAACAAATCTAAATTAAATTGACTACAGTCTGTCGTAGGCTCGTAGCCTAATCATAACCATACAATATTATTATTTTTTTAAGTCTTTTTGTTCGAACTAAGTTGAAGTTTGAACTAAGGCTGCCACTAACGATAACCTTCTCTCTGTCGATTATTTTTTTGATTAATCAACAAATAATTGAAGTTCCACGTCTAAGCACCGGCGGATTAATGTAGGTCAACGAGGCGCCCGTCATTTGGGAGAGGCTCAGAGTAGAGCCGCTTCTCCTCCACATGGAGAGGAGTAGCTGAGGAGGCTTGGGCTTCTTTTTCCAGATGCCCGCTGGACACCTCCCTCAGCAGATGTTCCAGGCATGTCCCCTCAGGTAGAGGTCCAAGGGACGACCCAGGACACGCTGCAGGGACTAAGTCTCGCTGCTGCCCTGGGAGCACCTAGGGCTTCCCCCAGCAGAGGTGGAACAAATGCCTGAGGAGAGGGAAGTCTTGGAATCTCTGCTGAGACTGCTGCCTTTGCATCCCAGATGAAGCGGGAGTACAATAAATAATTAGATAGCAAAAAGTTTTTAAAGAGAAAGTGTTTAAAGCATTTAAACCAAGAGAAGCTAGAACTAAACAACTTATGTAAATTTTTAACCTTAAATACAAAATGTTTATAATTTTTTTTTACAATTTTGCCATAATTATTGTTGTGGGGCGGTTGCTGTTTCAGATCTTCAACATTCAGATGATAAATTGATTACTACATGAATCGTGGATTATTTCAATAATTGATTAATTAGGATTCATTGTTTCAGGCCTATAGTGAGGCCAACACTCTTGCTTTACAAGGTCAGCTGCTGTTACCTGTTAGCCCTGAGGTTTTTGAGGCGAGCCTCCAGGTCATTGAGCAGGTTGACCTTCTTGCTGCACTGAGAACAGTAGACGTCCATGAGCTCACCTGCAAACTGATGACGCACTTTGCGGGGCGTCTGACCAGCGCTGCAAACAGACACACAAAGACAACCCTTTACTGTTAAGGTAAAACATAACTTGAGTCTTTTATCGAGAAACAGGTAAAATAATGAACAATGAAAGACTGAGTGCATTTCCTGCAAAGGGAGGATCTACCTGAGTGATGGCTTGTTCATAATGAATTAATCTGAATATAAAGGATCTATACCTTGTTGTAAAATCTAAAGTTTATGCCAAAAGTGAACTCTAATTAATTCTTACACTGATGTCAAAGCCTGATCATAATTTCCATAGTAAGGCAGACTTTTTCTTTCATGTTTTGTAAAACCCTGGGCCCTTATTTCACAATTTATTCACAGTTCTGAGGAGTTTTCTCTGATTGGTATGCATGGAGGAGCATGAAGTTGTATTGCCAGTAAATCATCTGAGAAGTTTAATCCCATTAAGCACAAGGCGTTGATAAATATTAACACTTCCTTTATAGCATGAACTACTGAGCTACTCTTTCTCAGTTAAAAGTCTTAATAATGTGGATCAAAACTGGAGATTAAAATCATCTGGATATCGATGGAGTTCGAAATCCTAAAACAAAAAACTGTTTTCCATTCTGACTTGACAGAAATGACTCTTTACAAACTGAAAAACACATAAAAAAAATGATGGGACAAAATACTATGGCAAGTCGATAGTTTGAATTGGAGAGGTTAAAAAACTATATCATGATTATGTGATGCATCTTTTGAGAAATATCTTCTCTCTGCTAGATTTACCATCTGCAGCAACAGCTGGGGTTAAATCCTTGATTACAGTTGTTTAAAATTGAGTTTTAACTCTGAATAGAAAGTTTTGGTTTAAAAAGTTAAGATCTGATTTGTGTGATAATGATTATAAATGATAAATGAAGAGCTATCTGCTAAAAGCAGATGTTACCTCACCTAGAGAATCAAACTTTACTTGATTTAATGAAATGTTTCATATTTAATTTGTTAAAAAGGGGAACTTTTTCCAGAAATAAATGCATGACAATATGCATCAGCTGGTGGTGGAATAACGATCTAATTCCCAAAGTAAATGTAAAAAAGTATAAAAGATAAAGATCACATGCATGTACAGCTTTGCTACTTGCATAGAGGAGCAAAGTCGATCGCCATGACGACAATTAGCGACAGAAGTCAATAGCCCGTGGAGACTGAAAGGATTATGTGTTATAAGCATCGGAAGCTGCTGCATGACGGTTTCTAATCTTATCATATATGATGGCAAATCTTAAAATGTTTCTATATATTGATCTTGAAATGAATAAATTAAGTTCTCTTGGTAAAACATTGACTAAATATTAATGGCAATTATAAAATAAAAATAAAAATCAGTGATTTGATCATTTTCAGTGAAATTTTGAAAGCATGATATAGAGTCCCAAAAAAAGACAACATTGGAATTATGAGATGTTAAAACAAAAGAAGTTAAAACAAAGAATTCCAAAATGTCTGTGTTCACACAAAAAAAAAAAAGAGTAGGTCAGCCCAGTTTTGACAAGTCCATATATTTCAGTTTTTAATGCTTTTAATGCTCTGTCAAGGAGTTTACGTTTTTATGAGAGTTTGTGTTTTTGTCTGTCTGACTGTCTGTGTGCAGGATAACTTGAAAGCATGAAAATGAATTATGTCTTTATCAGAGGTGTCCCTCAAGCCAAGGAAAAATTCCATTACATTTTAGTGATGATCCAGATGATAAAGGCATTTTTAAAAGATTCTCTAACATTGTGAGATGGCAATGGTTGGCAGAACAAGCAGTTCCCCACTAAACCAGAGGTTGGCAGCAGTGACTATTGACAGCTTTAGCATTGGACTCAAAACTGGAAACTCTTTTATGAAAATAAAATTTCATCAGAGGTGCGCCTCATGCCAAGGAAAAACCCATTTAAACTTGATAATGATCCATCATGTGCCAATTTTAGTTATACGTGGGTGACATTGTTTGCTAGTTTTTACTATCATAGAGATATTGATCTCAAAATGATGAGATAAGCTATCAGATTTTTTTTCTTAAGTGCATGCAATAAGTTTAAATGAAAATAGGCGAATGGTGTCAAGTTAAAACCTTTAAGATACACAGGGGCGTGCACAGATAAACACTAGGGGGTGCCAGGGCACCAACACTTTTCCCCTCTGCACAAAAAAGACCCCTCTTGAAATCGTTTTTTGTTTTTTTACACCTATTAGTCTTTGGCCCAAAATACCATTTATGAATTTAAAAGCCTATCAAACCAAGAATCTAGATTTTTGTATTTTTTCTCCACGAGACGTAACAAAACAAAAATATTTACCTACTTCACCAACCGGTTAGTTAATAGCATAACGTCTTTACTGGCCTCTACTGGGCGCCAAGGAATGGTTTAAAAGGCAACTCTTTGATTAAATTAGAAAAAAAATTTACTTAAAGCAGCTCATTGATGTAATTGTGTGTAGATTAAGTTGCATTTTCAATTTCAATGTTTCAATTTTTATCTTGGACTGCAAAAAATGACCTGAATATAATTTTATTTGTCCCCAATCTGAACAGGGAATAAGATGTTCTGTTAGTGGAATGAGAGTTTTTAACCTTAAAACATTATTTTCACATATTATGCACTTAAGATAACAGAGTTGTGTTTTTTAAGGTCTTTTAAAGTATGTCTGAAAATTGTCATATATACCCATTAAACTTGAAGATATTCTGGACTCCTGAGCTTTATATTAGTGAATTAGAATTTTTTTTTTTTTTTAGTGAAACCAATGTGGCATTGCTATCTATGGACTGTGGAAGATCATCAAATGCAAGCATCAGGCATGTTTGGCTGTTGGCGGCTCTCCATGTGATGTATAAGGTGCCCTTTTTCCCCAACTGGAGCACCTGCCCCCAAAAATGTTTGTGCACGCCGTTGGAGGCACAAACTGTCATTCCCAGAGCTCATAATAATTGATTAGACTTACTTTACCAAACAGTTTCATTGCAACCTTTGTCATTAAATTATAGTTGGGGTAAGTAATCGTATTAGTGATTGAAAAAAAAACACCTGACATGCAGATAATCTGTGAAGGCATGTCTGTAGCATTCCCTACACCATGTGACAGTGTAACATATCAAACCATACAGCTGAATGTAAAGCATTTACTTAAGATCTCATTGGCTTAAAGAGTCACGTTGTACCTAAGCCATCCAGGACACATGTTAGTGTCATATCTGAGCCAACGCTTTGATGAATTATTCAAACATGTGGCAACTAAGATAAAAAAGTCATACAGTACAGATTATCGCAAAATTCAAATCAAAGCATGTAAATGTTTCCTCCTTCAGACCTATTTTACCTTGAGGGCACAGATGAGCCGAGGTCGGAGTAGCCGTTAGTTCGAGCGTCGTCGTCTGGAGAAGGGCTGCTGGCAGTGTATTCTGGTTCTTCCCCCTCTCCGTAGTCCTCAAACTGCTCTTCGTTCAGTGAAGCCGAGGAACGTGTGGAGAGGTCAGAGGTTACAGAGATACTAGCCTGAGCACACCTGCAAATGGGAAGAAAACATGCAGGTTAGACTGTGATAGTTGGCTTTTCAAAATGCCTCAAGAAAACATTTGGGAATTTTAGGTAGAAAGTAAAAGCAAACAATAAGGCTTGTTAGATCAAAGCAGTGAAACACCCTGCAAACTGATGACAAAATCATTTCCATAAATGACAGAATGGAAGATGAAGCAGAGGTTAAAATGACTCTAACAGTGCTTACTTCTCCCCAGAGAAAAAGAGATCTCCCAGTGCGTCTTCCTTGTCTACGAGTCTGTTGAGACCTTCGAAAGCGTCAGAGCCTTGGGAGTTTTCCACAGCACTGTCTCTGTCTGACTCCCTCTCTTTGCCCTCTTCTGCTACCCCCTCCACAGTCTCTTCCACCTCTTCAGAGAACAACTGGCATTCTGGGACGGGGTCAGGAGAGGTCCGAGTGCACATGATGACCGGGAAGACCTGCCCCTCCTTGTCAGCCTGCAAAAAGGGCAGAGGAAAATATTAATGGAGATGGAAAGATACAGAGATGTTTCTGAGCTTGAATGTGAATATCGCTCTAGTCCTGGTGGCATTAAGGAACTCTTTGGATCTCTGCAGATGGCAGCAAGGTTGAATCCTGCTTTAAGGTAGATTACCCACTTATTACATTCCTCCACTGAGTCGTTATTAGCCAACACAGGGGGTCCTTAGGGATTTAGGAGGAAAGGCCATTGGGTTAAAGGTCAGGGGTCCCACTCTGCCTCGCCTGTCTCGTGTAAAACAGCAAAAATCTGCTCTTCTGCACCAGTGGCCAACCCTCCTCTTAGCATGACCAAACAGCTAAAATATTAGAGAACTTTATCAGGGTGGAGATAAAGAAAAAGTAGATACTGTGATGGAAAGTAGAGGAAAACGGATGCATCACAGCAGAGGCGTGCACAGACATTTTGGGGGGCAGGTGCTCAGGAGCGGGGGGGGGGGGCACTTTTTAGCGCACGTGTAACACTTAATTATAAAAAAAAATAAACGCATGTTGAATGAAATTTGACTTTTATTTGTAACATTCTCTAAACGTGAGTTTTCAATGGAAAAAAGTCACATCACCAACAGAACAGACTAAAGCATACTTTTTTCATCTGGCTCATCTCCCCGTTTTCCCTCACCCATCTGTTCTCCCTCATCCTGGTCTTTTTCTGTCTCTGTGTCTTCCCTGAACTCTTCCTCATCTCCTGTCCTGGCAGATGTTGATGGTATAGAGCTTCCCTGCTGTGACTGGCTACAATATATTAATAATAACCATCATGACAATAATAATGATAATAATGATAATAATAATAATAATAATAATAGCTTTAACAAATATGCCACATTGGTTTAAATAATGGGCTATTAGGGCAACATGACTGGAAGTCTTGTCACGTGGATATGACTTATGGTAGCCTACAAAATAATAGCTATTTTAATACCTGCTGCACAAACCACTTAAAAATAAAATGTGACCAGCTTTTAAGATTTTTCAATATGATTAACCCTCCTTTCTTGGTATTGTGCTGCAATTACTAAATCAATATACAATTAAGACAATAAAGAGACCAAAATGTGTTAATTTATGTTGCCTAACAAAACCTATACAACAGAAAACGTTTGTCTTAACACATAGATTTGTACAGAAGAGGATTAGGGCCACTGAAAAAAAAAAGTTAACTGATTTTTACATTTTATTTCAGTTTAACATGGGAAAAAAATCAGAATTCTGAATTTTTTATTGTCAGAATTCTGAGATTAAAGTCAGAATACTGAGCAAAAAGTCAGAATTCTCAGCAAAAAGTCAGAATCATGAGAAAAAAGTTAGAATTATGAGATTAAAGTCAGCATTCTGACTTTTTTCCCATACTAAACTGAAATAAAATTTAAAAATCAGTTAACTTTTTTTTTTTTTTCAGTGGCCCTAATCCTCTTCCGTATTTGCAATTGCAAACTCTACCAAAATTATTTGTAGCCTATGTGGTCGTCCTCACGTTATCTGTCATTGGCTTGGGCTACAGTGTAAAACTTTCAGAATCAGAATCACGTTTATTGCCATTGTTAGTGAAGGAGTTCACAAACTAGGAATTTTTTATGGTACAATCGTGCAACATGAAACATACAGTGTTGGGCAAGCTACTTGTCCAGTGTAGTGAGCTAAGCTATCAGCTACTCAACAATAAATTAAGCTTCACTACACAACAGCTACCACCTAAAGAATTATAGCAATGTGTTAAATGTGTTAAAATCTACACTAATGTGTTAAAAGTAGCTTAACTACATCAGAAGCTACTTAACGTTGTACCAACCTAATGTCAATTCAAAATGAGTCTGACACACTAGTTAAAATATTTATTAAAGATCAGCCAATGACATAACGCAGTGTAAACATTGCTTTATGATCAGCATATTAAAATAAAAACTAAAGTAATTACTAGTAGACAAACTAGTAAACAATCTGCTGTTATTAGAACCAAATTAAAGGTACTGTGTAGTGTTCTACACATGGAGACATGGCTATGAGTTTGCATTCAATGGACATCTCTAGGGAAAACAAAACCCTACAAAAGACCTCAATTAAACAGTTGATTCAAGTAACAAACAAAACTGTTTACAAAAGAAGGTGAAAAAATAAAGAAGCTAATTAAGAGATACATATATATATGTCTCACCATTTAATTTAATTTCCACCTACATATTTATTCATTGTATTTTTGGAGGCAATTAATTGAATGCTTATTTATTTATTTATTGAGCATTTATTTATTTATGTATTTATTTTATATACGGTAGAGCTGTTCCTCCATAAATAAAAACATCTTGTCTGTGCAAAGCCTAAAAACTGATTTATGTAAACATCCTGTCAGGTAAACTAGGCCATGAAAACACAATATGGAAGTTTCACTACTGCTCTCTAATTAGAGTATCTTAGTGGCACATAGATATGGGAGAATTATCCTGCCATAATGCAAGAGCACATCATTTCAATTTGAGAAAAGAATTTAATCTTCTTGCTCTCAAAACTTATAATGCTCACGCTCAAAACATGCGCTCTCTCTCAAATATTTTCTCTTCTCTCTTTGTTTCTTCTCTCAGATTTAATCCTTCTTGCACAGATATTTTCTCCTCTCGCTTGCCTCCTTTTCTTCGCGCACAAACCGCGCTCTGTTACGCTCGCAAACCCGTAGGCTCTGCTTGCGGATTTGTTTTGCTCTCTCAGACTGCAGTTGGATCGTTGCCTAGCAACCTTTCCAGCCAATAGAACGACAGCCTCGGAAAGGGTGCGCTTGTTTAACTCTACTGAGTGTGCCTCCGCTACTATGCCACTTATAAGAGCGTCAGCTGAAACTGCTATTTACAGTAGCTTGTGGCTGATTGTTGTTTCAAAATAGAAAACCTGGTTTCATTTCTTAGTTTTGCCCTGGATTTTGTAGCGTTTGTGGACGCTGCGTCGCTACTTGATCAAAACAATAACGTTGCTACAGGAAAGTTACTTGATAAATAAAGCAGCGACGCTACGGTCAAGCTACTGGAAAATGTAGTTAAACTAATAGCTTCGCTACATGTAGCGGCGCTACTGCCCATCACTGGAAACATATAATATGGAATAGGTAAATAAAATTATAAAAATATCTAAAAACTGTGGGTATACGTCATGCAATAAAATAGACTAATGTATACACTTAAAGCTACAGTGTGTAATAATTACAGGCATATAAAGTCAGAAATTTAATATATTATACATAACTATGTTATTTATCATCACCTATGAGCTCAGCCTTTTAACCATAATATTTGCGTTGCCTTAGAATTCGTTATTTATAATTACATAGGAGCGGGTCTCGCAGCCATGGAGGCAGACATCTTTGCGCTACGGCAAGCGCAGAGCCAACAAACTAGCGATTGCGAGATCTCCCATTACGCTTGAAAATAACTACGGCAAGTTGAGAGAGATTAACTGAGACGGTACTGAACAGTAGATGGCAGTATTATGCCTGAGAAGCGTTTAGTCTGCCTGAAACCAAAGAAGAAGAAGAAGCAGGTATACTGCGCCTCAGTAACAAGAAAGGTGAACAAGGCGGCAGGCGTGAGTGACTTTGCAAACTGTTTGGCACTGTGTGGCCAAACATCAGATGAATGGAGGATCATGCCTACTCTGTATCACAACGAAAAGCGGCGGACACCGAACCCCCGTCATCTAAGAAGCGGAAACACGAGAATAAACGCAAGCGTGACAAGAAACGACAAAAAACACGGATCAACATTGGCACGGCATTTACACGATGGAAGTCACTGATGGAGGAAAAAGGTTTTCAAAGTGACGCTCAAGTTGCCAGTTTTCTCTTGGACAGGTAATTAATCCTACACACACGATTGTCTAATATCACTGCAGTTTTTGGAGCACAGGATGCTCAGACCTGTCTAAAACAATAACATGCTGCGTGATGATGCTGTTACTCTCCAGTATACTTATTCAGCAACGTCCCTGACGTTTCACAGGTAATGATTCAGTAATTTTCTGTAAAATAATTTTCTGGATATATACCTCGGTTACTTCTCTCCGGCTCCTTTGGAGCCATGCAAAGCAGCTCACCAAAACGTCACAACGATGTAGAAAAAATAACGGGTATATTTATTATCTAAAGTCTACATGAAATCTATACCCTACACAGACTAATGAAAAACTATCTGTAAAATTATCTATGTAAACAAACCTCATCACTTGAGAAGGTAGGTGATGCCGACGTCGTGGAAGACATTTTGTCCCGTAACGCTCGCCGTACTGTTGGGGGGGAGAAGCGGTGGGGGGGAGACGTTCATGTTGCTGCAGTCTGCAGTCTGACCGCTAGATGTCGCTGAAAATTACACACTGTAGCTTTAAGATAAAAAATATGGATACAAAATATAAAAAGTAAAATAGCATCTTACAAGGAGACAACTAGTTTATCTGGTGACCAGTCGGCAAAATGCGTGTTTGGTGCTGCTGAATGAGACATTTTAATGCACAACAAAATGATTCTGCTTGATCTGTATATTACCTGGCTAATGGGGCACGGGAGAAGCAGCCTGTCAGCGACCGTTCCTGCTATCTGAAAACTGCTATGATGCTGCACATCTGGCATGCCCTGCGGGCGACCGAGCGAGTTCACGTGACAAAGGAAGAGAGAGAGGCTGGTCGTTTGTGTGCAAGTAGGTCGGTCATTTCGGGGCATTGTTTCAGTCGTTTTTAATGGCTCAGGTTTTCAAAAGATAATTTCAAAACCGACCTCAGTAAAATCTTAATAATAATAATAATAAAAATAAAAAAACCAGTTTCAAAAGGGCATTTTCTTTGATAGAGGGCAAACTTCCTAGTGCTTTAGCACCACCTAGTGTCTATGTGTGCACGCCCCTGCATCACAGTGGATGAAGGTGCAGGACGGGAATAAAGCTAATAAACAACAAAACAAGTAGAACATCAGCAACAAAGAGGA